AAACCGTTGCGGGTAAAAGGTTAATTTAAAGTTTAAAAATGACATTAAATTAAAAACTTAGAGAAAAAAAAATGATTCTGCTAATCGATATTAAGCCTTATTATTTATGTTTTTACATCGTTTTCTTTAACATAACTTTAGTTATATAGTTTTCTAAGGGCGGAGTTAGAGCCTTCCAGTATTCTATCCCAGCCAGTCTCGCGAGTGGTGTAAATGTTGATAATACTATTGAATTCTAACTTCAAATATTTAGTATGAAAAATTTCTTTCCAGCACTCAAGAACACTCCGCTTGGTGTAAAATTTAGTCCTCTAACCTCTATTTCTATAGCGGTCTATTTTAACTGTTGAATGCCCTGGAGATCTATTAGATTAATCCACGTTTGACAGGCATACAATGTGAAATTGTGTTTGAGTGATTAAATGTTGGTAATTCTTGTTAAATACACACAAGTTTTCACAAATAAGCTTGTTACTATATTACGTTATATATTTCCGATAACTTTATGTCAAAAGCCAATAAACAAAAAACTTAGAAAATCTAAAAGTGCGCGACTCATAATGCTAATATTATGATCGTGAAAAAATATAGGAAAAAATTTCAATCAAAAATAGATTTTTTTTTAATTTTACTATAATTTTAATATAGAGATCTATTTTTTTATTATAGTTAATTGAAAATACTTTAACCGAATTATCTTAAAACGATCAGAAATCAACCTTAATACTACTTTAATTCTTAGGTATTTGTATTTACTCGGAGATTATCATAAAAACTAGTCTTTTTTTAATAGAAATTTTTTCTCATCAACTTTATTCCGTTTTCAAGAAGTTGTTCATCTAGACATAACCAGCATTTTAATTCAGCATTCACCGAAGTACACCTTCAGGTCACTCCATAAAGTCCAAGACAAGAAGTATAAGTGTATTTATATAACATCTAACAAAAACCCATTATAAATCAGTATACAAACGTAAAAAATAACTTTTCCAAAAAACTCGATCATTAAAAATTTAATTTTAATTTAAAAAAATATTTAAAACATAATTTGCAATTTATATGCGATTTTATTACCTCTGCATTGTCCAGAGAATAAGAGGATTGTCACGGACTCCGCTTTACCGATGCTCGTGTCAGTTAGAGGTAATAAAACCACATATACTTAATTAGCAAATAAAAAAAATATTTTAATTAAATTAAATTTTTTACAGGTCGAGTTTTCTGAAAAAAAAATTCTATACGTTAGAAAACTGGTTCTGATAACACACTTTACGTGAACCACAGGATTTTTGTTACATAAAGTAAAAAGTAAAGTTACAGCCTATATACGTCCCACTGCTGGGCTCAGGCTTCCCCTCATTTCTGAGAGGGTTTAGGGCAAGGAAGTGTCCGCCGCGCTGCCCAAATGCGTGTTGACGAACTTCACATGTCTTCGAAATATTTTTTTTCTCATTCCTCAGACATGCAGGTTTCCTCACGATGTTTTCCTTCACCGCCGAGCACGTGGTAAATCAGCACTTAAAATTGCAATTAACGGTTTCATTGGTGCCGGCGGGGATCGAACCCGGGTTACTCGCGTTCTGTTTTATTTACAGCGAGCGTTAACCACTGAGCTACCACAGCTCTTTTGTTACATGTCGTATATAAATCCTACGTACTTTTAGCATTACATATATATTGTAATAAAAATCTGTGATTATGAAAATAAATTGGAGATCTGTGATTATAAAAATAAGATGGCAGACGTCGTTGACGGTTATGTTCAGTTTGCATCCTTTCTTACAGCTAATTCTAATTTATTATTTAGTACAGTAGGTAGGCATAATTATCATTTTTAGTAAGTATAATTTAAGTATAAATATAGATTACTTTCATTTTAATTACAATTGTTTTATTTTTGTTTATTTGATTATAGGATAAGTAATACTTACAAATACAACGTAAATATACTACAGTATCTAAATATAGTACAGTTTGGTACAGTATAAGTTAATACAGTATAATATTAATAGGATATTATAAACGCGAAAATTTGTAAGTATGGATGGATGGATAGATGGATGTTTGTTATTCTTTCACGTAAATAAACTACTTAATGGATTTTAATAAAACAACAATAATATAGATTATACATCAGAATAATACATAGCATACAATTTATAAGGCTATTGTGAATTGTACAAAATATGACGATAAGTGTCAAGTAAGTAGGAAAAAAATCTACCAACTGCGAGCTATTCTGACGTGCGCTGCCAAAACAGCTAAAGTTACACATAGGACGTACCGTTCCGTACCGCTAAAGTTACACATAGGGCGTACCATTCCGTACCGCTAAAGTTACACATAGCGCGTACCGTTCCGTACCGCTAAAGTTACACATAGGGCGTACCGTTCCGTACCGCTAAAGTTACACATAGGGCGTACCGTTCCCTACCGCTAAAGTTACACATAGGGCGTGCCGTTCCGTACCGCTAAAGTTATACATAGGGCGTACCGTTCCGTACCGCTAAAGTTACACATAGGGCGTACCGTCCCGTAACGCTAAAGTTACACATAGGACAAACGGTGCGAGGGCAGGGCGGGCGGTCCGACGCACGGCGGATGAGGTGGGGTCTACAGGAACCTAAACTTATTTGTGTGATAATTTTAATGTCATAAAGTTAGTTATTTTATACGCCACGCTAATATATGCTACTCGAAAAACTAATCCTGCGCAGACGATGTCGCGGGCACAGTCTAGTATTTTATATGTTCAATACGAGTATGATTGTAAGATACGATTTCATGCGACAAAATGTAGGATTCTTGATTTTTAGGTGCTAGTAGGACACACCCACGCGCTTTGCGCTTAAGGCATGCAATAAGTCAGAGCACATCGGCAGAATTAGCGAAAAACTAGTTCGACTTCCTTCAGAAACACATGCGTTCTGGTCTCTCGCCAAGGCTGTCCAAGGGAACTTCTGTCAGCTATCTGCAATCTCTTCACAAGGAGGACGACTCACTGGCCCATTCCGTAAAGAAAAAAAGCCGATCTGCCAAGTTCTCTCTTTGCATCCAACCCGACTCTCGATGATGGGGGGAGCGCACTGCCGACTATCCCCGCTGTGAGTGCTCTATCTGTATCCCATTCTAACAATACTAAACTTTATGCGTACTTTGATACTTTATGGACTAGGTGGAACAGGTATTTGGATCGAGTTTTATACGGAATTGGACTAGGTGAACCTAGTACAAAATTTACCTAGTACGACTCATCCCTATATTTATAACGTTTTATGTTCCTGAAAATTAGCTGAATAGCTGGTTATCTAGCTGGCTATTCCGCCACAAATAACTACCTAGCTAGGTTATTGCAATTTTGGCTAGTTACCCATCGCTAATCGTCACCCGTTACCCACTGCTAAATATAAGTAATCCTTTCACAAAAAGAAAGGATGTCAAAAATAAGTACTAGATTTTTTTAAAACGTCTTACTTAGAATACCTGTAAGCTCATTCGCACTAATATTTCTCTATTAACACAAACCATACCGCGACGTAATAACCAATTAGTGCCATCCAGTACACACAGATACGCTATTCATTTATAGGATTTCGCTTAAAGCCTTTCCACTGTTTAATTGATGAACAAATTTACGGTATTCATGAATTGATTTTCGCGGAAATCTGACGTTTATTTGAACACTATTTTCACGTTTTCTACGTGGTATTGTAAGCATACATGACGGTGGCGTAATTCTGAGCGATTTACTACAGTAGTATTTTCAAAATTAAAACTGTCGCTGCGAAAATATAATTGTAGTGTTATTATATTAAATATATGTTTAATTAAATATATGTTTAATTTTATTTTATTTTAATATATGTTTAATTTAAGTTTAATTATTCATCAGCCCGTACTTGTTCAGGAATAAGCCTCTCCCATTGTAGTAAATATTGTCGTGGTAGAGCCACGCTCCAGCTATATTATGGTTTTAGCGGTCGGCTCGACCGGGACAGGACCACGCTCTCACAGAATATCAGCGTAAAATATCAGCGTAATGCTGCTGTGTTTCGTATGGCGAGTGTAGAGATTCGGAGACCCTTTTTACTAGAATCGAGGCATGCCATCCAAGTCCTCAGGAGTAACAACGCATTTGCATTTTGATTCTTGATTGAGGGCAAATGTGGATGTCTATGGGCCACAGCATCCACTTACCATCAGGTGGACTATGTGCCCGTTTTTCATCCAATACTATAAAAATTGTAATGCTTGACATATTACGATAGCAGTGCCAGATGTGTCGTACTTTTGGCGCTGCAACCAATTATTGGTCTGGGTATTTTTACATCTAGCGTAATCATTCTTCAACATCATTTTAGCCTATTAAAAATCACTGATGAACATAGCGCATAGATGTGATGCATAGGAATACTGAGTTGTTATCAGAAAGATGTTCCTGTCCATTTCCTGTTTTAAGTTTCCCTTTAGTCGCCTTTTATGACAAACTCGGATTAGTATGGAGTAGTAAAGTCTCTTACGCTATAACTAAACGGTTAACTGACAAAAATTTTTAGGTATACATTAATTTAAACTCAGTGAAGCTGTCCAATAAAGTCGAGTTTTTAATCATCCTCCAAAAGTGAGAAGATTACATACAACGCGTAAGTTTATTATGTGTGTTTAACGATTTCTCGAAAACGGCTAAATCGATTTTAATAATTATTGGTCTTGGTTTTCAGTGGTATATTTAAATTTTATTAATGTGGAAAGTAGGTGTTAAAGTTTTTAATGTAAAAAAAGAATTTCTTCACATAATAAACTTGACTGAATGAAATGGAATGGTAGATGGTATACTTACACCGCTACTAGAAAGCATCCGTCTGGTGTAAACAAGATGATTATACCGCTATCTATCGGAAGCCACGTTTCCCCGGTATTTCTCAAGTTGCTTCTTACGACACCCACGGTAAGATTTGGAGTAATGGGTTCTCTTACGGTACCACCACATGCCATACATTTTAGGTTTCCATTTCCTGTAAAACCTTAGCCAAGCATTTGAATATTGGTAACTGACCTGATTTGCATTTGCTCGTTAATGGACACGAGCAACGCGCGCCGTTGCAAGAGTCGCAGTTACAGTTGTCCAGTGCGGCTGTCCACGGCGGCGACAATGTCGCTCCTGGCACCTGTAGTAAGCATATGTACTTAAACTACCAGGGTATAATTAAATTTCTAGTAGGTATCTATAGTAGAATTCAATTTAATTTGAATTTGTAGTAGATATCCATAATATGATGGAATTTAATTTGAATTTTAGTAGATATCCATAATATAATTGAATTTAATTTGAATTTTTAGTAGATATCCACATTATAATTGAATTTAATTTGAATTTGTAGTAGGTATTCATAATATAATTTAATTTGTATTTTAGTAGGTATCCATAACATAATTTAATTTAATTAGTAGATATCCATAATATAATTGAATTTTATTTGAATTTGTAGTAGATATCCATATTATAATTTAATTTAATTTGAATTTGTGTTGGGCATCCGTTATATAATTGAATTTAATTTGAAATTTAATTTAATTAGTAGATATTCATAATATAATTGAATTTTATTTGAATTTGTAGTACGTATTCATAATATAATTTAATTTGTATTTTAGTAGGTATCCATAACATAATTTAATTTAATTAGTAGATATCCATAATATAATTGAATTTTATTTGAATTTGTAGTAGATATCCATATTATAATTTAATTTAATTTGAATTTGTGTTGGGCATCCGTTATATAATTGAATTTAATTTGAAATTTAATTTAATTAGTAGATATTCATAATATAATTGAATTTTATTTGAATTTGTAGCAGGTATTCATAATATAATTTAATTTGTATTTTAGTAGGTATCCATAACATAAATTAATTTAATTAGTAGATATCCATAATATAATTGAATTTTATTTGAATTTGTATTAGATATCCATATTATAATTTAATTTAATTTGAATTTGTGTTGGGCATCCGTTATATAATTGAATTTAATTTGAATTTGTTGTAGGTACCCATCCATCCGTTGTAGTATTTTTATAGGATGATCACCGCTGAACACATCATAGATTATCTCATACGCAGTTGCTAACTCGATCAGCCCGATCAGCTGAGAGTTTGGAAAACCTAGTGACCGATAAATTTTTTAAGGTTGTTCAAACACGATTAAATGCGAAATAAGTTTTGATGTATTACTGATAATGCTAATGAATTGTATACGAATATTATCCATAATCTTGATCATGTATGTACGCGAGCCGTATACGTGAAAGTTATGGTACAATTAAGTAATGATTAAAATGAGGTAAAATACTATAAACGTAAAGAAGTGAATGAAATAATATTGGCTATTGTCTTGATCATGTATGTCCGCGAGCCGTGTACTACGTGAAAGAAATGGCATAGTTATTATCTAATTAAAGAATTGCTAAATTGCTATGAGGTGAAATGAAAATTAATAATGGTTAACCAAAAGACCGTGCATGTTGGTAACTGCAGAAATTTTATTTTATTTTATGTTATTGTCGGGAAGATGATGATATTACCTGTTTCTAATTTGATTACTAACAAATGTGGTAATCTAAATATAAGCATATAGAAACGTTAATACTGACTGCAACACTTATTAAGAGTTTATATTTATTGTAGGATCCGTCCAACTATGTTTTTCTGTAAGTGACCTAAAAGGCCATCGAAGTTATCGCCATGCTCACTTTATGTCATTAGCCAGATAGTGGAATGGTATCAGATTCATAAAGACTCAAAAAGAAACCCTAAATATTCGAGATTATTGGCAGATATGACAGAGTAATCAGTTTTTTTAAGAAGAGAAGGTAAACAAACATACGGTTTGATTGAAAAGTAAGTAATCACTGCCGCTCATGAACGCCACATATAGTATACTGTAGCTACATTTTCAAGATCAGTTATGGTGTTATACATACTTTTTTTTTTATATAATAAGAGCGACAAACGAGCACACAGTCCATCCGATGGTAAGTGGATGCTGTGACCCATAGACCTCTACATTTATCAAACCCAACCAATCAAAATGCAGATGCGTTGTCACCACTAAGGACTAAGATAGAATGCCTCGTTTCCAATAAAAAGGATCTCCGGTTTTCTACATTCACCATATGAAGCACCATATGGTGAATGTAGAACATTAAGCTGGTATTTTACGCTGGTATTCTGTGAGAGCTTGAACGTTTACAAACACAATATAGCTGCAGTGTGGCTTTACCACGTGTAAACAGATGCGAGTATAATTAGCAGAGAAAGACAGAAATTGTCTAGAAAAGTAGCTAAATAGTTAAACAATTAGAATAAGATGCAAAGCATTGGTAGCTTTCTTTGTTAGAAGTCGCTTGCAGTTGGCAAGTAAGTAGCTGGTCAAGTAAACTAAAAGTACCTTTATCACTTGTAGGTATTTTATTAAAAAAAATCTAAACTACATATTTTTTATATTTTGCAATGTAAGTAGTTGCGGTGTAAGAATATCACGTCATATTGTGCCATAGTGTCGTAACAGGCGACAGCGAGGCCAAGAGATGGGTACCAGCGTTTTCTTACTAACAACTTTAAAATATAAAAACTTTGGCTACAAACTCGCATGCTAAGCATGACAATTATGGTAAATATCCCGCTTATGAGACAATCTATGGGGGGCCTTTGTTCAGCAGTGGACTTTAATAGGTTGTAATGGATGGATGTATGGAAGATAATCTACCAGGAGCACATGACCCACTAAGAGGTGAAATTATTAATTCAACAGTAACATTACAACTATGGCAAATATATATTCTATGCGACCATCTATTGAGAGGCCTATGGTTCAACAGTGGGTTGTAATGGATGGATGTATGGAAGATAATCTACCAGGAGCACATACAGTAACATTACAACTATGGCAAATATCACTCTTATTAGGCAGTCTATGAGGAGGCCTATGTTCAACAGAGGACTTTAATAAGTTTTAATGGATGAATGAATGAAATATTTCTTACAATAATAATGTGTGTAATTATCTAATCATCTTTTAGAAGTATGTAATATATTATATATGAGATTTTTTTTACAAATAAATATCTATTTCAGATAACTATAGGTAACATTTTCTTATGGAAGGATGTATATATATATTTATAATTTTTGTTGTCAGAAACATTCTTTTAAAATAGTTCGGCGGAAGTTTTATTAGGTCCCATTTTAATAATCCGTCTGGCAAAGGAAGAAATATTACTAGTGCATTGACCCATGAATTGTTTTATCGTTATACAACTTTTGTCTAGAACTCGAGAAGAGTTCATTTTGTGGCAGTTTTATTAATAATTCATGAAGTGAATAGTTATATTACATATCATACTGCCAATAGATGCATTACACTCGTATAATTTTTATACAAATAATATTTTTTGTACAATTGTCTTGTTCAAACCCAAGATATATTTTTAGGCAATCTTCTAATTTGTTTGGATTCAAACCTCTGACTTTGTTCAGTATTGTCTTAGTACCTAGAGAGAGTTTTTAGATGCAGCCTGCTTACACTTGATAGTACTTAGAATAAAAATCTAGATAACATTCAAATTAAAACTAAAATATAACCAGTGATATGGTAATTTTATGCTATCGCGGTCGCGTTTTTTGTCTCTAGAAAATCTTAAAATCATCCGATTTTGATTAATTTTTTTTAATCTTCGTCTTTACGATGGATTAACGAAAAAAATTACAGGAATAAAAAAAAAAGACGAATCACATCAGGAGTGCCGGCAGAAATGAAAACTTGAATATTAACGTTGTGCATTTTTGATATTTTGGAATGGTTAGGGAATAATTTTGCACGAATTGCTTTAATTATCAGTATAAAAGTATTATCATTTATAGGGTAGAATACAATATTTATTTATTGCGTTATCGTACACAAACATGACAATTTATATTGCATTCGCGCAAACGCCCTGCGCCGCCTAAACGAAACAGCAGGCGCAGGCATACATTTTCGCTGCGCCGTAGAAAGAGAGGGTGATACTTCCTCTCCTACGAAGTCCGTCTTACGAATTTTCGATCAGGTTACGTGTCCTGACGCGAGTTTAACATTTTTTACCCATTACAAAAAAAGCGTAGAAAGCCGCTAAGGAAGTTTTAGACCGCGATAGCATAAAATTACCATCTCACTGGTTATATTTTAGTTTTTACGTACGATAGCGCAATAAATAAATATTGTATTCTACCACATAAATGATAGTACTTTTATACTGATAATTAAAGCAATTCGTGCAAAATTATTCCCTAACTATTCCAAAATATCAAAAATCCACAACGTTAATATTCAAGTTTTCACTACTGCCGGCACTCCCGGAGTGCAACCCGTCGTTTTTTTTATTTATTAATCTTTTATTTTGATGTATTATTTTTTTATAAACCACTCAGAAGTAGGAGCCAGCGAAGCGGGGCTCTGTCGACCGTGCTTCCTTTGACTGCGCTACGGGAGAGAGTTGGGGGAGGGAAGCGCCATTCAACGTAGCGCAGTCGAGGGAAGCGCTCCTACTTCTGATTGGTTTATAAAAAAATACCAGAGAGGAGATGGCGGGATCTATTCACTTACTTCGCTCGCTCACTCGACCCCGTCACCTCCTTCTAACCTAACCTGTGCGAGTCGGGATGCCCTAAGTCCCGAGCTCGCTTTGTTCGATTTTACCCTCAATAAAACACCAAAATGTAAATTTTTATAATTATTTCGATTTTCTAGAGAGTTTATGATAACATTTAAAGTCAGAAAACCGTATAAAAATTTTAGGTGAAATAAAAACTTAATAAACACACATTTTTCAATGTTTTTTTTTTAATTTTGTGTAGATTAACAAAAAAATATATAAACTTCGTTTAAAGCTTTGCAAAAAAGTTATGAACGATTATATTCGAAGAAGTGCGTTTATGATCACAGTTAAAGTCATAAAACTATATGAAATCTTCAGGTGAGATATTTTCCATATTTGTTTTCATGAATCCGACAGAACAACGAAGATTTAAAAAAAGTTCATCGAATTCGGATGGTTTTTCGATTTTCTAGAGCCAAAAAACGAGGGGACCGCGAAAATATAAAATTACCAGTGAGATTTCAACAGAGTATACTTAGCAATGTTATTAGTATAAGCTCCTCCCAATGAGATGCATATATAAAATAGTGACGTAATATTTCATAAACCAATATGAAAAGAGAAAAAAATAGACAATGAAATTTGGAAAGGTTGTCACGTACGTCGCAGATGTGAAAACCGTGAGAGTGGAGTAGAGACCGCGCGTAGGGAAACATAATGCGTCTCACATTTTGTTGGTTAAGCGCGCTGGCTATATGGAGGCTGGTAGCAACTTGATACGTTTAGCCACAGACAGGGAAGTTAAATAGCAGTGGGAGAGGGCAATGTACAGCTGTTGACTGCCGAAGGCTGACGATGATGGTAAAAGCCTTTTAGAATTATTACTGTTAATATAATATGAAATATCTATAATATTATAATATTACTATAATACTACAATATTATCGAATATATGTATATATATTATCGGATAAAGATTACTTCCAACAACTTCAAAGCTTAAACGTACCTTTTGCTCTAAACTAGGACCAAGAGTCGTAACTTTTGATGCACTCGCTTCTAAAATAGCCCCTCTTACGTTGTCGTCGGTTATTATGTTAAGATCAACCTTGCTTACACCATCTTCAATCAAACTTTTAAGCCCATCAATCTCTTTCGATCTCTCTCCTGTGTACGTGTAGTTTGAATTCTTTTTAGTATCATTTTTCATAAGAGTTGGCAGTGTAGTTAGTCTTTGGATTGATTCGTCGATATGTTTGTCGCTTACTATATTCTTATTAATTCTATTGGACGGGGCTATTTCTAGTTCTGCTGAAAAAGATACGTCTTTCTGGTAGATCAGGTCTTCTTGTGTGCCAGGTGAAGTTTCAGTTGATTTAGTTGCGTTTAGTTCTGTAACAAAAACAAACCAGTCTTAACACAAACTGTAAAAACTTGTTTGATAATTTTTCATAGCATCTTATAGTAGTAAGTGGTTGCTGTGGCCCATAGACATCTACATCTATCCTCGATCACGAATCAAAATGCAGATGCATTGTCCCCCGTGAGGACTAAGATGGAATGCCTCTTTTCCATACGTAAAACAGCAGCACTAAGCTACTATTTTACGCTGGTATTCTGTGAGAGCATGGCCTTTCCCCGGTCAAGCCGACCGATCCGTGCTACAACTATACTAACTACTACTAACATAACTGCAGCATGGCTCTACCACGTATAAAATTTCAATTGGAACTACTCAGTCAATCCTATTCGTTTTCACCTATATTGTATTTCGGGAATTTCTAAATGAAGAAAGTTTTTATGATAATTTATTGAATTTTTTACTAATGTTGGGTAATAATTGGGTGAATTGAACCCTAAGGAACTATTTTTGTAGATCGGGACAAAATTGATAATTTTAATCTGTGGGTAACCGCGGTTAACTACGACATCGGGACGTCGAACACTTCAATGCCCCCCGTGACGTGAATAATATAAAAAAGTTGATATACGCGATAAAATACGTAGAAACTAGTTTTATTTAAATATGTAGTGTTCGCGTAAATATAAAAAATCGCTTTTTTTCACCATCCAAACTATTTCTGGAGTTAAAAAGCAAGTCCACTATAGTGTTCCAGTTGAAGTGTATAAAGAACAACTATATTAAATCACACCAAATTTACAAAGCAGCCTCTTTGCTGATCTAAGACTCGTTCAGAAGTCAAAGATAACCTGTGCCTAGCAGGGGGATGTATGGGTCATTAGTTTCATCTTTTTCATAAGCTTTTAAGTGAACTTATAGTAAGGCTGAAGTACGAGTGCGGTCTAACCGGTTAAAAAAGATTCGCAAGGAGAAGGTGGATACGCGATTGTAGTTATATACTATCTATTTATCGACAACCATAAGATATTTCTAGTATTTGCCTTAGTAAACTTTTATAATACCCACAAAATGAAATGGCTTTGATAAATGGCTAATTGGACTGTAAAAAATCTTGTAAGCCTCGAGCACAGACAGAGTAGTCAACCTTTAGATACTCTATAGGATGCATTTCGCAGAGTTTGCGCAGGGTGTGGGATTTTTCTCACCTGATGGTAAGTGACTATCGCTGCCTATGAACAACTACAACAGTGGATTTGCAGGTGTGTTGCCGGCCATTTAGGAAAGACTAAGCTCTTTTCTTGAAGGTACCTAGGTCATATCGGGCCGGTGGTAAACGATTCCACAGTGGGGTCGTACAAGGAGGAAAAATCCTAATAAAACGTACAGTGGTTGACCTTCAGGCATCCATATGGTATGAATGGTAGCTTGAGTTTAGTCGCGATGTGCGTTTGTGAAATTTGGCGGCTGGAATGAATCTGAACAAATTCTCAGAGCATTCCCCGTGGTTGATGCGATAGAAGATGCAAAATCATTGTCACATCTCTTCGCAGTGCTAGTGGATTGAGCCGATTGGAGAAGACTCGGTCGTCGACGATTCGAGCTGCTCTGCGCTGGATGTAGTCAAGTGAAGGAGCTGACGCTGGGGAGCCCCGGCCCAGAGTAAAATTGTTGCAAGCTTTTAAAATTGCATTTAAACGTACCGACATGAAATACTGTCCCACTCTGTTAAGCACGCCAAACTTTTTTAGAGGTCAATTTGGTCTTCCCTTCCAAGTGACCACGAAACTGCACATCTTTACTGGCTGAAGCAACAAGGGGAGTAAAACTGAGGAGATACGACAAAGGGGTTCTTTTTAGCGGTAAACGCGCAAACTTGTGTCTTCAGGGGCTTGAGCAGGACTAGAATTTAGTCGCTAGTACTTGCTTAGTACTAGGAGAAGCAGCGTTAGCGAAATCTGCCTTATGCCTTAATTTCTCCCTGCTCTGTTCACTATCGGGCAACCAGGCGGTCGGTGGGTCTTCACCCCTTTTTTCGTTATGGAATATCTATCATTCGAACCAAAACGTTTATTTCGTCTTTTGTGATACGTACAACAAAAGAATGAAACAATCTGCCAGCCTCTGTCTTTCCGTCTAATTACAATCCGGGCGTCTTCAAGGCAAGAAATAGGCTTTTGTTACGCTAAGACATCGCGGTTTGCTATCTACTCGTAGACCTTCATCACCTTTTACCACCAGGTTAGATCGTGGACAACCAATGACTTGTAATAAATAAAAAAGTAGTATAAAGATATGAAGCATCTCATACCACTATAATTAAGTGCCTGCCAAACATGGGCAAAGTTAGGCAAAACTCTTCTTACAGTGAGAAAGGCACATATCCAGCAGTAAAATCTTACAGGTAGAGAAATAATAAGAATATGAATAACAGATACGTCCTTAAGTAAGTATTGCATTTTAATATTTGGAACACGAGAAGTAATTTTCCTGTGCAATCTAAAGCTTCTTGAACTTAAATGAGACTGAAAATTTACGAGCGATTTGTATCGGCACCAATTCAAAGTATACTGAACTCGTATTAGCTTCTAAAAGTTGCATCTTGATGAGTTCTAGTTTCGTGTCAAGTTTTACCTTTTAGTAAGAGCAATAAATTGAATGAAATAAAATTGTAGAATAAAAAAACGAAATGACTCAGTATTAAACTGCAACTGCTTAGTTTTTTTAAGGTAACCATTTCAAGCCAGTAATTGACTACAATATCATCGAATGATAAGTGTCAATGCAACCGAAGATGGTAAAGCCTAACAAAAGCCTATTTACCTTTATCTTGAAAGCACCAACGTGTAGTGTTATGCTATTTACATATCATTTTACACTATTTTAAATTTATTTTTTCATTCTGTTTTTTATTTTCTGTATTCACCTCAAAACTGGATATTTTGCATCACCTTTATTTCCATAGGATTCTGTAACGTTTTTAACCCATAAGAACACAATAACAAATCATTTTCACTTCGTATTTTCACGCTATCAGCACTTTTTAAATCGGTTCTTCGTTGTTGATAGGTTAGGTTCTTTAGTTTTTAATTGTCGCTTTACAACAAACGTTATAATCAGATGAAGAGACAGATGCTGGTAAATTATTTCCCTCCTCTGCTGCACGAATTACAAGTAAAGCAACAGAACCGTTTGATTTGAATGCATGATAAGTAGACAATGAAGAGCTAAACACTGGCTGAGCTTTTTGTAGTCTGATAGTGAAAAACACAGGGAATAATTGTTTTATGCAGTTCCTGCGTATACTCTCCGAAATGTATTTTGTGAAACATAGAAAGATTGGCAACTTTGAGTCTGTGCTCGACTGGTAAGGTTAGTTTTAACAAAAGCTTTTTAGCTTTTTAACAGTGGTAGAGCCATGCAACAGCTTTGCTGTTGAACGTATGGGCTGGCTCAAACCGGGGTGGTATCACGACCTCACAGAATTCCCCCTCCCCAACAATATGGTAGCGGAATTAAATGTTAAACTACCCCAGGGGGGTACCAGCACCCCTGGAGAATCCCTCGCTGAGCATCTACGACCAAGTTACTCCACTCCTGAGTGTGGGTGCTCAGGCTGCCCGCGTATTCTGGGGGGGGGGGGGGGCAAAATTCCACTCAAGACTACAACTGCTCGGGGCAAACGGAGCAACAAGACCAAGGCAAAGACGACCATCTGTGCGTCTACGGGTGCCTCTATAGGTCCCATAGCGGTAATGCCGAAACAGACTACAGATTCGTTGCTACAGCAGATCCCCTCCATAGAGATTGTGATCCTCGGCGGCCTTAACGTCCATCACGCCGAATGGCTTGGTTCACGTTTAACCGATCATACGGGGAGATCTGTTCATGATTTTGCCTTGGCATATGGTCTGACACAATTGGTTACTTCGCCTACGCGGATTCCAGAAGTGGAGGATCATGCACCTTCACTGTTGGACCTTCTGCTGACCTCTCATCCGGACGGATATCAGATTTCCGTCGACGCCCGTTTAGGCTCCTCGGACCATTGTCTTGTCCGGAGTGTGGTGCCACTGAAGCTGAAATCGCAGTTGCATTCTGCAGGCTGCCGCCATGTTTGGCACTATAGGTCGGCCGATTGGGATAGGATGCGGTCTTTCTTTGCATCCTACCCTTAGGGGCGAGTTTGCTTTTCGCTGGATGATCCCAACTTTGTTGCGAATTCTGTCGCTGATGTGGTACTTCAGGGTATGGAACATTTTATTCCTTCCTCTGTGGTGCCCATCGGAGGCAAATCTCAGCCATGGTTTGGTCACTCCAGTAAAATAGCATCATGCTATAAGCAGGAGTGCTACCAAGCCTGGGCTCATGCATCAACATCCCGGGATGTAAACACCAGCGCTCTAAAAAAAGAAGTATGATTCTGCCTCCAGGTTTTTCAAAAGAGTCACTGCCAAAACAAAGTCGGAGCACATAGGCAGAATTGGCGAGAAACTAGTTCACCTTCCTTCTGGAACTCGTGCATTCTGGTCTCTCGCCAAGTCTGTCCAGGGGAATTTCTGTCAGCCGTCTCTTTCATCTCAGCACAGGAAGGACGACTCACTGGCCCATTCCAAAAAAGAGAAAGCCGATCTGCTAGGCTCTTTCGTTGCGTCCAACTCGACTCACGATGACGGGGGGAGTACGCCATGTAGTAGGGAGTAGTGCTCCATGCCGGAAGTGCAGTTCACACAGTGCTTAGTTCGCAAAGCATTCCTCTTCCTGGATATCCACAGTCGAGTGGGCCTGACGGAATCCCCCCAATTGTGCTGAAGATGTGTGCTCCAGAGTTGGCACCAGTTTTAACCGGTTTTTCCGGTACTCCTACTTCTTAGGCGTAGTCAAAATCATGGAAGATGGCTTTCGTCCACCCGATCCCTAAAAAAGGCGACCGCTCAGACCCGTCCAACTACCGGCCTATCGCCATCACCTCCTTGTTCACCAAAACAATCGAGTCCATTGTAAACTGCCAGCGCCGTGGTCGATCAGCTGGTGATCTTCTGATCTACCTAAGTCATAGATGGGCGCAGGCAGTAGAGTCCAAGGAAGAGGCATTGGCCGCTAGTTTGGACATTGCGAAGGCCTTCGATCTGGTTTGGCACAAAGTGCTTCTTTCGAAGCTCCCTTCCTATGGGCTTCCCGACTAATTATGCAATTGGATCACCAGCTTTCTTGCAGATCGGAGCAACAGGTCGTTGTAGACGTTGCAAGCTTCGATTACAAGCCTATTAATGCTGGTATTCCACAAGGCTGCGTGCTATCGCCAACGCTGTTTCTTTTGCATATCAATGATATGTTGCAAACCCATAACATTCATTGCTATGCAGATGACAGCACTGGTGATGCTCTGTACACCGGCCGTGCCAATATTTCTCCGGATAAGTCTCCGATTACCGGGACAAACTTGTGTCTGAAGTCGAGTCTTTGCTGAACAGAGTCTAATCCAGTTTAACCCTCAGAAGACACAAGTTTGCGCGTTAACCGCTAAAAAGAGCCCCTTTTTCGTACCTCCTCAGTTTCAAGGTACTCCCCTTATTGCCTCAGCCAGTATCGGAATCTTCGGCGTCGACATATCGAGTGACGTGCAGTTTCGTGGTCACTTGGAAGAGAAGGCCAAATTGGCTTCTAAAAAGCTTGGCGTGCTCAGCAGAGCGGGACAGTATTTCATGCCGGCACACCGCCTGCATCTTTACAAGGCGCAGGTTCGACCGCACATGGAATACTATTCCCATCTCTGATGATCGGCGCTTCGTTTAATTAGATTAATCAACTGTCCCAGCGTCAAAATAAGTACCGCACCTTTGCAAAAACACCTAACTTCAGTTGTTTTATTTCTAGATTCAATGAACCAATCCTCATAAACTGAAGGTTGGTGTACTGCAATGATAAATCTTGGAAAGAACGAACTGAGGTGAGCCGGCACCTTATTACATTGAATGAAGAACTTCAATTTATTAATATTTCATATTTAATAGTGAGGGCGTAATAAAATCCACTATTGCGTAACATCCTGTGTATTTTATAAACATTGACACAGGAAAACTGAAACAAAAAGTGTTTTATTTTATAGGATAGGGTGACAAACGAGCCCACAGTCCACCTGATGGTGAGTGATTGCTGCGGCCCATAGACATCTACATCCATCCTCGATTAAGAATCAAAATGCAGATGCGTTGTCATCCCTGAGAACTAAAATGGGATGCCTCGTTTCCAATAAAAAACAGAAACACAGCAGCATTAAGCTACTATTTTACGCTAGTATTCTGTGAGATCATGGTGTGTGGCTGATAATAACAGAAAATACAATCAAACTGCACTTGCCACGCCCCCCCCCCCCCCACGCCAAGCGTGACATCTATTACTAAATCTATTCTGTGAGACAGTTTTTGGGGGGTGGCCTATGTTCAGCGGTAAAGTTTTAGGTTGTAATGAGTAAATCATTTGTCTTTTAGGTTGTATTGAATTCTTGTTCAATCCCCGTCTTAAATAAATTTCAATTTCAAGTGCTGATTTACCACGTGCTTGACGGCGAAGGACAACATCGTGAGGGAACCTGCACTGAGGAGAGATGTGAAATCCGCTAACACGTAATGGATACATACATTACTTGGAAAATAATCAATATGAATGTACGATTAGATAGATACAAACAGCGTATATGAGTACACGTCTCACGAATGTATACAAGTCTATTTTCACATGTAAAAGGATTGAGAAGCAATTCGTATTCCGAGCTGCTCCAGTTCGTGCAACATGTTTTCCAAAGTTTTATTCATGCATTTATTTCTCCGAGATTCTCTTTACGATAATTTCCTTCACCTCCGAAAATTTCGTAAATCACAATTGCAATTAACTATTTTATTGTCACCTCCCCCCCCCCCCCCGGGTTGCTCACGTACTGCGAAATTTTCAGCGAACGGTTAACCGATTAACTATGGTACTCGAAAAAAACTATCCATATTTACCACACTTGGTAATAGATGGATTGATTCCGAGATCAAATATTTAGTTTTTTACTTGGTAGATTTTGATATAAATACCATTTTATTTCGAATATTTATCCCTCATTTGTTATTTTATTATTACATATTTCGAGGTTGCAAGGAGCAAGTAAATTTTGTAAAAAAAATACTCAAATTAAGGTCAAGTTCGTCCTTTCCTCTTGTAATTTTATCTCAACACGAGTTCGTAGAATATCGGAAGCGGAAATAAATTTTGCGTCAGCTTTTGAAGACGACAATTTCGATACTCGTTTCTATAGAAAATCGATTAGACAACTCACTCAGAAAAATTCAATGTAGCGATTTACGACTTTGTGTGAAATATATATATATATATATATATATATATATATATATATATATATATATATATATATATATATATATATATATATATATATAAAGTTACAGCCTATATACGTTCCATTGCTGGGTACAGGCCTCCCCTCATTACTGAGAGGGTTTTAGGGCAAGGAAGTGTCCGCCGCGCTGCCCCAATGCGTGTTGTTCGATGTATTACGATGTTCTACTATCCCGTATCATCCTGTCGATGTCGCAAGA